GTGCCCATTGTTTAGCGTCCTTGATAACTTTACTGCAATCATTCGGAAATGCTCCCTTTAATCAGTTGGCATATAAAATTAAATTTTTTTTTCCTTTTTATCATAATTTTTTTTATCACAATTATCATACTTTAGAAATATTAATCGGTAGCTAAATATTAATATAAAGGTCATTTATAGATGAAATCTTGAATATGTACTTTTCACCAATATCGATTCTCGCTGGTGTCATCTAGTCCAATCACTTGATTTTAACGGATTCCAAGCATTTTAAAGCAATATCAGCTTGTTTCTATACTACGTTGAATGGGTAAGTACTGTTATGAATTAGATTACCAAATTGAGCTTGCTCGACATTACATTCCACGAAAGTTCGTAGGAATTGAGAGAGTATATTGTATACTAGAATATATCTCCAATTTATTCAAGAGTTATATCGCCATTACAACATTTCATCGCTAAATATTAATTCGATCTTGAGCTCTGGTAATTTTCTTAACAACGATGGCAAGACGCCTTTATGGGAGAATGAATATATAAGCCGTTGATTTTGAAAATAGGACAAGTCCATTTTATGAAAAAAATATATATATTATGTAAATATGTCTTCATATTCCATATAAATTCTTTTTTCCCTTTCTATCTCTCTCTTCTCTCTCTGCTTCTTCCTCTACCCCTCTATTTCCCTCTCATTCCTTATATTTTTCTTTCTTTCATGTCTTTTCTTTTTTCTTTTCTTCTACTTCCATCTTTCTCTCCAATTGCATCAGTAGAGTTGACGATTCGTTTAAAAGAAAAACAATTAAGTTATCATAATGAGTTATTTAAAATAAATATAGAAATAAAACCTATAAGAGAGAAAAATACAATAATTTTATCGATCAGAGATATACGAGAAGAGAAAAATAATATACGTGAGCGAGTAAGCACTTACTGACTTTTCTTTTACGATATGAAAATATATATAAAATAGAAAATATTAATTATCGATCGGTGACTAAAGAAAAAAAAGAAGGAAAATTGATAAAAAAAATGTAAGCACAGACGATGTCAGGCGTGGATTCGTTCTGTTGACATTTTGATCCAATTTGATTTTTTTTTCTTTGAATTCGTTAATTCACTACGTTTAATTCATTTTCATTGTAAACCATTATTCTAATACTTTCGGCAAAATGAACGATATCTCATACCAGCGGAAATTATAATACATTTTCCGGTTGAATTGCACATATGACCCGCGTCCACCACCGACACCAACACAACTCTTCTTCTTCCCCTTTCACCTCTATTTACCTATCTTCCTCTTCAACATGGCCGATATTTTTCATTATGGCATAAGCCGTGTTATCGAACATTTAAATTTTCTACATTCTTCAATTACGATCAACGTATCTAAGTACTTCTGTACGTACGCAGATGTGTTGTACGATACGTATATATGTACGTAAACATATTGAGCGTACTTGTTAATCGACTTTACAAATAATATGAATTTTAGGGTCATTTATTTGTCTTCCAGTAAATCTATACAAACGTTTTCGAATTCTAGTAAACTTTCCATATTGATATGATTAGTTACGTAAATTTACTTGTATATATATACATATATATATATATATATATATATATATATATATGGTAAATACATATGTTTCGTATTATATACGATAGCATTTGTGTGATTCGTAACAGTGAGGCCGGAATTGTCATCAAACGACGACGTTCAGTAAAAGAGTGGCGTCGAAGACAAACGTTAATTAAAAATGTCAATTAACTCTATTGTGTCGACCAATTTATGATGGAAACAGTTTAATCGTTAATTAAAGAAGGTATGGGAGTGCTTTTTCATTTACCCTTAAAGTGCCACTAGTCTTGTTTCATTTCGGGATTATTATACAAAACTATTGTAGAAGTACAATCATTTTTTTGTCTTTTTTCTTTTATTTCATTTCTTTTATCTTGTTTATTTATTTATTTATTTATTTATAAATTTTATTTTATTTTTTATTTTGTTTCTTTATTGAGAAATGAAAAGTAAATTATAATCAAAAGGATCGTTAAATGTAATTACGTTGACTTCATTATTTTATTTCTTTTCTATTTGGTTTCATTTTGACCGGAAAAAGAGAATCAAGATGGTGGTTTTATTTTCTCGAGAAAAAAAATATTTGTACGGTAACGAGTCAAAACACATTCGAAATTGTGTAACAAGTTGTATTGGTCCCATACTCTTTTCCTCTTTCCCACTCTCCTTTTCTATACCATGTTCTCTGTCTGCAACAAAGAATATAGTCAGTCGTACAAACGATATTCGTAGTTAGTCCCTAAATAGTATTCTCGTAAAATTGAACGACAACAATGAAAGTGAGCTTGAATGTAAGAATTCGACTGTAAAATGTAATAAATTTCTCTCTCCCCTCCCTCTTTCTCTCTCTCTTTCTTTCTCTCTCCCCTCCCTCTTTCTCTCTCTCTCTCTTTCTATCTCTCTCTCTCTCTCTCTTTCTTTGTGACTATTGTCGATAATAATTATTTCTTATTGAAGGGAAGTACAAAACGAGCATCGACCATATGCGAAATGCAACACAAAGTGCTATTAAAACTATGTAGTTCACTTACAAAGATTATATATATTATATATACTATATATCTTTGTTAACGCGCAAATGCGTCCCTCAATTGTTCACAGTACTTTCTCCTAAAAGTCTTATATCACTATTATAAGTATCTCTCCTTGAGAACTCGTTGGATACTCGTTAAGAAAATGCATAGATAAAAAACACTATGCCACCTTTATCCTAGCTTAGGCATTTTTAGTCAAGTACCCAGTTATCAATAATATGTCGAAGCGGGCAATAAATAGATATTGAAAGTAGATGTCTACGCACGACGAGCCAAGGGTTTTTTAGCGCCTAGCAATCCTCGTTGCTCATTGGCATCCTCTAGTCTACACTATCATCTGAACAAAGGGGCACACATGTAATTGTTTAAACATTCCAACAAACTATCTTGACATGCCCACAACAAATAAGGATATTGCTTTGCCTTTCCGGGGATTTTTTACTTAAACACTTTCTAATTCTTTCCTAATTCTTTAATGCCTTCATCGATAGTTCGAGAGAAATCTACAAACAGTTATATCAAAGTATTCCCACTTACCAGTAAGGCAGCCGAGTCTTTCCAATATAACTGGCTATGCTCTAATCTAGATATCTAGCACAATCTAAAACGTAACAACATAACTAACTACACGTCAATCTACAAGAACATTGACAATTGTATAATATTTGAACAAATATACTGTGATATCTTCAATTCGTGCAATATTTATTATAGCGCATTTACCTCGTGAGTTTTACAGGATTCTTTAAAAGAACGCGCTTTCTCCCATTAATTTGCGGGAATGCAAATATGGGAATAGTCGGTCCATAGCTCTGATGACTAGTATTTGACAAGGGAAATTCTCCGTACAAATCGACTATCATCGCTAGTCCAATGCGAGACGCGTATCTGGAAACACTCTCGTAGTTGCGTCATTACGACGCAACAATATTATATATATGCACTACATACTACTATACAAACGCTAAGTCTCGCCTGCTGCTTTACTTTTTAACTCGTACAGATTTACTTTTTTCTCCTTTTTTTTTTCTTTTTTTTTTTTTTTAACGAATTTTCTAAAAAAGAAATCTTTCCTTTTTTTTCTTATTTCTGATAAACTCTGACAAAGTATCTCGTACTATTTTTATAATATATATACATATGTGCCTGTGTGCTTAAATTTTCTAATATTTTCGATATTAATCCATGAGAGATTAATATTTCATTTAAAATTTTTTCTTTATACATATTTAATAATCCATTCAATATTTTTAACATTCAATCATATTTTAAGTTTTATGAGTCCTGTGTGCGTATTGTGTGTATTTGTATATGTACTTCAAAGTTTTATAAATAAAATAGTACTGGTATAGTTACCTTGATTAAATAAAAATAGAAATTAAGATAGAAAGTGTTTCATTGAAACGGAAGTAGTGAATTAGTGTATGAATGAGTCAGATAAATAGCAATATAACGTATGATTGAGTAAGATATAGAAAGAGTGAATTAATTGAATAAGATACAGAAATACTAGTGAATAGTTTGTGGATAAGATAAAGCAATAAGTATGTGAAGGAATTAAATATAGAAATGGTAAATGTATAATATATATGTGTATATATATATATCCCTTTCCGGACGAGAAGTATTGGCACGCATTTGAGAAAATATACACGTTGAACATTTGCGTTATAAAAACTAAATCTTTATTCAAAAAAAGAAAATTTTTTGTCCAAATATAAAAAAACCTATTTAGTTTTGCTATGTTTATGTATGACGTTTTATATTCTTCATGATGTGGTATCTTTCGAAGCAGTCGCCTGTATGCAAGGCTAGTTTAGCCGAACAAATAGCTTCTATAGTACCTTGATTCTCTTCTTCCACCTTTGATTTTCCAATTGGAACAACCACAAAGTCTTTACTCTATCCTGTATTTAATGCATTTAATATTATAATAGTAAAATAAAAAATGGCGGCATGCTAATATTTGGAAACCTAGGATTAATTGTTATAAGCACGCTGTACTTTTAAAATCTGCGTCGATTTTCCAATCGAAAGATTACGTCCTTTGTGGGAATCGACAATTTCTGGTAAAAGGTACTAGTAATAAAAAGCTGTTAGTTTCTCCTTTATTTTATCTGAACAAAAGCAATTGTTTTTTTCTATTTTATCTACACTCATTCTTTTCGATATCCAAAAAATAAAATAATATCATTGTCTTTGAGTGATGTGTAAAAAGATTCTGCACTTGGTGTATGAACGTAATCTTTGTACGTCCGATTTTTTCCATTGGCATCATATCCTTCATTGAAACTGGGCATGTGACTTCAATGAGGATACCAATTAACCCGTTCGGAAAAGCCAAGAATAGTTGATGTTTATCTATAATCAGATCCACATCTTCAATATCGAGTCCGTACTCGGTGGAGAATCGTCTAATTGGCAATGATTCTTTTTCAATTCCCCAACTAATATTATTATGTCCCTTGAAACGGGGATATCTAATGAATTCTATTAATTTTACACAAGACTTGCGCGGCTTCCATTTACAAATTTTTCCAATCATTGGAGCTCACTCCATTCGATAGAATTTCTTTATCCACAAGTTTCGCACTCTATTTTGAAAGGGTCTTCTTTATTTAACGATTCTACAAATAGTTTTCTGACATGCATCAAGTCTTTGTCACATAAATAGGATGGCTGAGGACAAATCGCGTCTGGTTCATAATCATCGTCGTTTTCAATATGAAATTTCTTCGCGGGATATTGAGAGTTTTTTACTTTTCGTGAATCACAAATTCGACGTTTTCTATTCACATACTGTAAAGTAAAGTTGTCCGTACCTTTACTTGACAATTTATTATTTATTTCCCGATGCAGTGAATCATCAGAATTCATAATGATGACAGTAACTTTGCATCGAGCTTGATATGAGCTGCTTAAGACAAAGTTTGTTATGAACGTGCCATATCAAACTGGACGCGTTAGCTGTTACGTAATGCATTGACGATAATATTTGGTAAAAAATACCAATGTTTTGCATTCTCTGTACGTGATTAATCTCACTAGGTTTTTCTTTACCAGTGTAATTATATTTGCTACATTTTTCACGATAAACAAAAACATGGTAGAGCTCATTGCAAATATATTACTATAATTCCTCCACGTTGATATAGAGGCTGTTTTTGTTATCCTTTACAATATTTTACAGCTACCGTAACAGCGAATTGCAAACGTTTCAAATGTTTCTACAAGATATTTCGCTGAATGACGGAGCCATGATATTTATTTACACAAAGAGTCTGCAAAAGGCTACAATAGTTTTGTAATATATGATTGTGGCATTCACTCTTTTCGATTAGTAATTCTGGACAGTACGGCAAAGCGTTTATCATTTTCCGGTGTACGTTGTTCTCACCCCTGATCAATTTGACATATTTCAAATCGTACATCTGGACATTACAACGAAACGTGTAACTCCTATTGTGTCTAATTCCATCTGTATTGTCAGACCATAACAATTCTTGTAGCATAGATGATCGCAAAGAGCTACTTTTGTACCGTTTAACCGATCGTAGACAGAACAATATTTATTACGCACCTCAATATATAAAATCTTTTTTGTATCAAAACTGGAGATTGCGGCTACGTCCGATAACAAATTATATAGTTTCTTATATTATCTTTTGACCCATGATTCATCCGTGACGACGGTGATACAAGGTATATCACCGTGATTGACCTCTTCTTTTAGATAAGCAATATTCGTCTCCTCCTCTATAGCTTCGGACATTAGTTTATATGTCGTACTACGAAAATATTTTGATACAATAGTAAGGTATTTTATTCATGTACTATTGGAGAAGCTTGTGATATTTATCACGGCACAAAGTTCTTCTAATTGCGAATATCTGCTGCTAGATACTATTCAGGCGTTGACATTTGAATTTATTTCCGATGCATCATCACTTTCTTTCAATCTGACTAAGCAAACCACATTTATTACATTTTAATTTTATTATACTTATAAAACTATTCGTGCTTACTTGTATAGTATCCAAACATGGATTCTGTAAATTTTCACTTTATGTGCTAGATATTCATTCCATTCTTTTTATGGAATTATTTCTTCTTTCTTCTTCCTTAAAGCCAATGGATTTTTTTTCCTATTTTTTTTCCGCTTGTTAGAAGGCCTTTCTTGGCTAACATTTTTAAAACTCACTCGCATGACAAAAATTATGAAACTGAGACACTTCGACTAATCGTGAATTAAGAAGAAGTACGGAATCAATTGCATTACGATCAGATATGGACATGGTATCATATAAATCATAACATTTATTGACAAGGATATTATATTACTAGTTAATTTTTATTAAGCATATTAAGAAGACTAGGGTCATCATATCTTTTGAATATTTATTAAAATAATATTTTTTAAAAAAGAATTCATAGCTGTTGTGCATTTTTGTTTGTTCTAAGTTTTTTGATTAAACAATGTTACATATCGTAAAAAGTGGACGTTCAATACAAAAATGTTTCAGATAAAGTTTGTTTCAAATAACTTTTCAATGTTCAAACCTTTAGTTCAACTGATTTATTTTATGAAGTAAGAGAAAATAAAATTGTGATAAAAAATGTTTTACCATTATCTAGAGGCCATGAAAAGGAAACTGTAAGCTTACGAGTAAGTCATGTTAGAAATTATTTTTAACTATTATTAAATCGAATAAAATACGAGTATTAAATCCAACAAGGGATAAGTATGTACTTAGATTATAGATGTTTAATATAGATAAAAATAGAAATAAAATGATTAATATTGAGAGGCGTTTCTTAAGGAAGAAAGTGAAATAAGTGCTTCTTGCTAACAAAGCTAAATACAAGCTTATGACTATTCACAACCTTCTGTTCAAAGCATGTGTGTCTTCAACAGTAGATATGGACTAAATATGAATTACAAATTAAACGGGGAACGTTGTCCTCGCCATGCGTCTATCGTAATTAACAGAAGTAATTTTTGACCAATTAGAAGAAAAAACGACTTATTGCTCTAGAAGAAATAAAAATAGGTATAAAAGAAATTAAATAGTAAAATATAATAAAATTAAAAAAAATAATTAAATATTTATAACCCGTTTGTTTACATATATATAAACACCCATACATATAGAACATATTGTAATATATACTTACATTACGTATATATATATATATATATATGTAAAGAAAGTATACTTTCTTCAGGTAGATTTGCCGCAAGTCTCATGTTCCGCCCTTCCATTGTCCTTTATTATTTACAATTTTTCTTTGTGACCTACAAATCGAGTCATTAAGACTTGGAAGAGAAACGGACAGTATGAAATATAACATAGAAGAGAAAGGCAACACGAGAGCTAGAAGAAGATTCATAATATAATAGAAATAAAATTTAACAGTGTGAATAATAAACGTAAATTGTCGTTTCTTTGTTCATAGATTTATCACTTTGTTTACAGAGATACATATTTTAGTTTATCACCTCCCATAATCAAATCGAGATATTATATATATATATATATATATATATATATATATATATATGCGATATTATTTTACAAAAATATCATCGTTAGAATGAAAATACTCGAATAAATACATTCGCTATGAAAGATTTTGCGAGTGTGAGCGTGTTATATAATAGTCTACTACATATTATTATTACTATCTTAAGGTGTGTGAAACAGTTAAGAGAGTCGACAAATGGTATATAAAGTGAAAATAAAGAGTAAACCTTAAACGTGCTATAAAGAAAAAGTAAGGTAAGAGAATTCGAGTGGATGAATAACCTCTATCCAGAAAAGTGCTTCTAGTGAAAGCTATCGTTCAGATCGCAATTTACATTTCGATCTTTGGCCTAACCCGTTCACAAAAATCCTCTTCTTCAACTATCATTTACTGATTAATGGCATCATAATAAAGCATATATTTCGGTGTACTAATAACAGAGTTATTTACTAGATTCGATGACGAGTGCATATTTTGCCCTAAATCTGAATTCGTCACATAACAGCTGCTATCTTCGGAGGATGGTCTACAGGCGGATTGTACCAATTAAAAAAATTATATTTCCATATAATAGTTTAAAAGGAAGTGGTATATGTTCAACAAAATTTCATTTTATTTTGATGTTCTATCAAAAAGAGTTTGATTGAAAGAGATAAAACTATTCAAGACTTTTTTGCGCAATAAGTAAGAGATATATTGATGTTTTCAATTCTTTATAAATATCTTTACTTTCTCTCTGTATCCAAGAAGTAAACGTATACCTTTAGATTTTTACAAATTTATCGTTCTTTTATATTTCCGTCGAATTTTCTCAGTTAATAATTGACTGCCACCGTTCAACATTTGATCTTAATACTCGAATATTTTTATCTCCAATTGAAAAAGACATGGTGAATATGATCATTGTTTTGGAGATAAAAAGAAATGTACTTAAGAATAAATTTTATAAAATGTATAAAACTTAGTACTGTAGAAAATTAATGCAGTTACCAAAAAAAGTAATATAAATCTCAAAAAATATAGCAAAGATATGCGCAAGTTATTTTACTATCATTAGAATAATGAGAATGAGCCTTCTTACATTTTGTAAAATGTCTGCTTTCGAGATGTCTCCAATGATAACATGAGTTATTAGATTTTCGTTAAAAGTCCAACGTCACAGATATATGAAGGCATTCTTTATTTTATTTCTGCATCAATCTTTACTTTATTTCTGCATAAATTAATACAAATCTGTAGTATATTTTGCAAAATTTCGAAAAAAATGTAATGCGCAATGGAGAGAATTTCTTTTCCGCGATGTGGTATCGAACGTACTAAGGTTGTTAGTTTTTTAATACTAACGGCGTTTGACGTATCAATACATTTCCTCTTTACATGATAATATAGTAATATATTCCAGTTCTGTTAACGATAGGAAATGACGTGAGCGGCCTATTGAACTTTTATAGGTTTACCATGAACTTAGGTCGTCTGAATAGCAACATATTCAAAATAGGTCGGGTAAATCTGCGTAAAAATATGAACGAACAAACTTATCGTAATATTTCATTCGATATATAACGCATTTAAATTTTATAAATTTTAATTTCCAAATGTCTGAAAAACTGCTTATCTAATAAATACGATGTGGTGGCATATATTTGCATTTGATTAGTTTGTTCTGCAATATTTCTTGAGAAATCAAAAAGCATGGATTGAAGTTATTAAACATTTTTATTACACATAAAATTACATATTGGGGAATAATTTGAACTAAATATTTTTATGATTTTGACTACTTATTTACGAGCTTTCAAATTTCTGTTTTCACATGGCTTATTTTATATTCATCTCGCTTCTCGTTATATAGATTCATTTTAATCGCTATCGCTCGCATCACAATCTCTCTCTCTCTCTCTCCCTCCCTCTCTCTCTCCATTACCCAATCAGAAAATCGTGTTAAAAAATGATATTTTCTTGAGAATAGTTTATGCACAAATAAAAATTTTTTTAAAAACTTCGCCGAAACAACGCCGTATGTTACACTTTCTTCTTTAATATCAGATCTTATTTATTTATGTTGGTCGAGAATTACTTCTTTCTCATAGATGATTTAAATGTTGACGTTTTTCGCGAAGAAATAAGGTAGTACTTTGACACTTCCCGTAAAGTAGCGATTGTTTGCTTGGTTGTGTGAGTAAATAGCTGATGTTCTGACTTCTTGAACATTTCCAAAGACAAAAAATGCGCTGCATGCGCGGAGAAACACGAAGTAGCTACGATAATTATTTTAATGATCTTTGGCCAAATGATTCTATGGCAAAAATAAGGAAATAAGTATTCAATCGTTTACGTCAATGCATATGAGTTTCTAAAATATTATTAAATTTTGAAAAAATTTGCAGTGTCTTTTAAACTTTATAAACTAAAAAGAAAGATATTCTATTAGTAATGTATTGTATATTAGCAAGCATCCAGATACGTAGTTTAGAAATTTTTGGTGTTTGAGGTTAACATGATTGCGATGGTTTTTTTTTATTATATCGATGTAAAAGAAAATAATGAACTTATTTACTCTTTTTTCCTTATTTGATAATTTATCAAGGTGTTATTATTCAATGTTTTATATTTATTTTCTCCACTGATGGCTGACGTCAATTTCGCGGTGATCTATGCTGGATAAAACATAGCAGCAATATAATTTTGTTGAATGACAAATGTATGTAAACTACATAAAGTTATCGATTATTTTTTCAAAATTAATAATTAGTATATATATATATATATATATATATATATTATATATTATATTTAATAAAGATCAAAAAATGAGTTTGTTTCCACATCATCTATGAGATTTTCATCCTAGCACTATTATGATATCGTTTCCTCTGTGATAGTTCATTTCATATTATTGCTATTATTACTATTATTTCTATGCTAATAACATGTAATATAATAATATAGTTACAAAAACAGTAAAAAGAAGAAAAAACAAAAGAAAATACTAATATTGTATACATCATGATATATATGATGACGGTAATTTATGATAAAAAATGGAACATTGTATCATTTTATGTAATGATTTGAAACGCGAATTCCCAACAAATCATAACGGACCGTCTAATACAAACGACATTCGAAAAAATGTACGAAATGATTCTTTTGTTTTCGAATTATATAGTTTTTCCCTCTCTTACCTTACGATTGTTATGCGTTTATTATAATTAATATAATATATAAGTATTCACTAATTATTTTTAAGAAAATATTCAACAAATTCTTATTTTTGTCGCAAATTTATACACTAATTCTTTTATGTATCAATTATATTTATTTTTTTTTCTATGCATTTTTCGTAAACCAAATGCGTACCGACTTCGTATTTAACACAGATCTCTGCAAGATACGCTACCATCAACAAAAGTTATATAAATCAGAGATTGAAAAGTGTACGTTCACAGTCTACTAATCACACGCGTTATTACATACGCGTGAGAGGGAAATAACAAAACAAGCTTATACACCGAAACAATAGTCAAACAATAGTCACTAAATACCTTGATTCATAATTCATATTTTGTCAATACTTGTCGATCAATTTACACACGCTTTGAACAGAAGGTGATAAATAGTCTCAAATTTATCATATATGCATCGCTCGTTTGTTTGCTACTCCATATTATTTTTTTTTCATTATGCATATATCTCAAGGTTAGATAGCATACAAAATATTTCTTTAAATTATATTATCATCATATATTAATTATTATTCTGGTATCGAAATAAGTTGCCTTTTGGATTCACTTATTATTTTTACTTTTGTTCTTCTTATCGTTATAAGACATGTTAAATTTTACGTAACAAAAAAGTAAGACGGAGAAGGTAAAATTTTTGTATTAGAGAAAACTCGTTAGATAATACTGATTCGTCTTTACCTATTTTATTTCGTATGTATTTAAAAGTATATATTACAAAACACGATTTTATAAGGCTCGCTATAATGTTTTAACAAAATTTATTAAAGGAATAAACAAGGTAAACAGAGTGTAATATATGTTTGTACTATTTTGTTAAGTATTACATATGAAAGATAAAGATATCGATATAAAGATATACTTTTATTTGCGTACGCATAGATATAAACATATTTTATGTATCAGAATGTATGTATGTATATATATATATGTATATAATATCTCGAATTTATTAGATGAGGTGATAAAGGAAAATATGTTTCTCTGTGAACAAAGGTATAAATCTTTATTTGTTAATTAATAATTATTTGCTATTTACAGTCTTACCTGTGAACAAAGAAACGACAATTTACGTTTGTTATTCTAACTATTTAAATTTTATTTTCTATATTATCTTTATAAAAATTCTTTGTAATTTCTCGTGCATAGGTTCTATTTTCTAATGCCCGTTTTTCATCAAAATCTTAACGGCTCGACTTGTAAATAACAAAATTCAATCGAAGAGCGGGACATAAGAAGAGCGACAAATCTAAATTAAGAAAGTATACTTTCTTTACATATATATTACATAAATATATATTTGTGTATAAAATATAATTTTCATACTATACGTTAAGAAGAAGTACTTAATTTTATATTTTAATGGAAGCTGCTATTACTACAATAATAACATTAACTGTTTATACCAGATATATGCAATTATTAATAAATAATATATTATTTAAATATATAATGAATTATTAATATTAATAATTTATTATTTCAATATATCTTATCGTCGTGAATTTGTTTATATAAACACAGCTTTCTAGAAAAACAATATATACAATCTGGGAGATATAAGTTTAAGAATATCCATTATCAACTTTTTAATCAGAATAAAAAAATAAAAAGGTAGTTCATTAGTGTCGGTGAAATATGTATCTTCATTTGTATAAGTATAACGGGAAAATAAAGAACTTATGATAGCTGACGTGATATAACGAATTTCATGGAGGGGGATAACATTATTAAAAAGAAGAATTCATCGCTGACGATTTCAGTTGGTGTCCAAATTTCTATTTCAGACAAACGAATGTAAAATATCATAACATCATGAATGAGTTTAAGGAGCTAGAGGAATCGTAAAAATTTTCCAGATATGCTGATCCGGAACCAGGTGAAGAAGTTGTTATTTCCGGAATCGCTGGTAGATTTCCAAAATCCAACAATTTGTATGAATTGAAAGATAATATTTTTAATCGCAAAGATTGTATCACAGATAACGGAATAAATACAGGTATCGATTATACGTATACAATCTATTTTATTTAACAACGTAAGCATTAAACAATATTAATATTTTTCTATCTTTATCTTTTATTAGAGCATTCAGAAATTCCTCGACGAACGGGGAAAATTAACAATATTGAGAAATTCGATGCATTATTTTTTGACGTCGATTTTAAAGAAGCACATACTATGGATCCTATGGGCAGAATATTGTTCGAACATACTTATGAAGCTATTGTAGATGATGGAATTCATCCAAAAGATCTTCGTGGAACGAGGACAGGTGTATTCTTAGGTGCATGCTTCTCCGATACAGAGATAACTTGGATCTACGACAAACTCTAGGTAAGGAAATCGATCAAACGATCAGTTTATAGATGGATTACTTATATAAAATTACTACTATGGTCGGAGAAACCGTATAATACGTCTTTTCAATTGTAGGTAAATGGCTTTGGTATCATAAGCTGTAGCAAAGCTTTTATGGCCAGCAGAATTTCGCATTGGTTGGGTGTCACTGGACCAACATATAACGTCGATACCGCGTGCAGCTCAAGTCTATTTGCGATGGAACACGCATATAGAGCTATACATAAAGGACAATGCGATTACGCGATCGTCGCTGGATTAAATCTTTGCCTTCATCCATTTGTATCTTTGCAATTTAAACGTTTAGGTATTAATTATGATATTTTCTTGAAGCATTTTTCCTTTTTTCTCGAATTATCATGAGAGTATTAAACAATTATTCCATTTTGTACCTCTCTAACAGGAATATTGTCTGAGGATGGTCGTTGCAAGTGTTTCGACGAAGATGCAGATGGTTACGTGCGCAGCGATGCCGTAGTTGTGGCATTTCTGCAAAAAGGAAAAAATGCTAAAAGAATCTATGCAACAGTTATTCATGCGAAAACAAATTGCGATGGTTATAAGGAACAGGGAATAACATTTCCTTCTAGCCAAATTCAGATTACTCTTTTCAAAGAATTCTACGATGAATGCGGTGTACCAACAGCTTGTATAAATTACATCGAAGCTTATGGTACAGAAACTACAGTTGGTGATCCTGAAGAAATAAATGCTATAGATCAGATTTTCACAAAAAACAGAAACAATCCTCTTAAAGTCGGTTCCATCAAATCAAATTTTGGTCATATCGAACCAGCCAGTGGAATGTGCTCCATTGCTAAGGTAAAAATATTTTGAAGTATAAGACGAGACAATTATTCGTCCAGCTTCGTTTCTTTGATATATTACAGGCGATAATATCGATGGAATCAGGCCTAATACCACCAAATATTAATCTTAATCAACAACGCAAAGACGTAAAAGCTTTTACAGAAGGGAGAATCATGGCTGTTAGCGAAACGTCTCCGCCTGATGGGGAATACATAGCCATTAACTCTTTTGGCTTTGGTGGTGCTTATGCTCACGTCTTACTTAAATCAAATCCAAAAACAAAGGTCAATAATGGATTGCCAGATGACGATTTGCCAAGACTCGTAACTGTTTCTGGACGTACCGAAGAAGCAGTTGTAACCATATTAAACGATGTAGGTGAAATGTTCATTTAAATAGAAAACATAAAGATATTATACTTGTTTATTCTACAGTAAAATAGAGCAATACAATTTCAACATCTTATTACGTAGATCGATAATCGACCGATAGATGTAGAATTTATTCGTCTCCTTCATGATATTCATTTCAAAGAAACATCAAGTCATTTATGTCGAGCATACACGATAACTAGTTCTAAATCGTCTGACGAAAAATTGAGAGAAATTGAAAAATATTCTGGTATAAAAAAACCAATATTGTTTGTTTTTTCTGGAATGGGATCGCACTGGTCTGATATAGGTACAAATATTTTTGTTCTATTATTTCTTCGTAACTATGAAAATAATAAACATTGCGATCAAATGTACTGGAACGTAGAATTTGTTATTTACAGGTCAAAGTCTAATGAGATTCCCTATATTTGCTAAAGCTATAGAGAAATGCGACGCTGTATTAAAGCAGTATAAATTGAATATTTATAAAATTTTAACTGAAAATGATAACAGCATGTTCGACAATATCTAGCTTTCGATCGTCGGAATTGCTGCAGTTCAGGTAATATCGACAATTATTTATTTATTTGGGAGAAGTGCATACGTTCGATAAGATCTAACAAAAGGAAATAATCTTTACAGATCGGCTTAGTAGATCTTCTAACTTCCGTAGGTGTAGTGCCAGATTACATCATCGGACATTCCATTGGTGAACTTGGTTGTGCCTACGCAGATGGATGTTTTACAGCAGAGGAAATGATATTAGCAGCATATTCGCGAGGAATTGCCTTGATGGAAACAAAAATATCTCAATGTTCTATGGCAACGGTAGGGCTTTCCTATGAAGATCTGAAAAATTGCTGTCCTGTTGATATCGACATCGCATGTCACAATGGAACTGAAAGTACAACTGTTAGCGGACTGACCGATTCTGTGAAGAAATTCGTTAAAAAATTACAGGTTCGTTTGAATATAATTAGGATCTAGCCAATAAAAATATTCCTTATTATTAAATTGATTTTTTTGAATGTGTTTGTATTTGGAAGACAACTGAAGTTATCGTAGAAGAGATAGCTAGCAATAATATACCTTATCATAGCCGATATATGGCAGCAGTTGGATCGAAACTTTTTGTATATTTAAAAAAAGTGATACCAGTAACGAAGGCACGAAGTGAAAAATGGCTCAGTACATCGGTGCCACGAAACGCGTGGTCGACATCAGCCGCAAAACTCTCGTCAACTGAGTATCACACCAATAACCAGTTGAAACCTGTACTCTTTGCAGAATCATTAGCTCTGATTCCGAACAATGTTGTCACGATTGAAATTGGATCGCAAAATCTACTACAAGCTACTTTAAGAAAATCATTGCAACCAACCGTCAAGAATATTGCATTAAATCATCTAAATGATAAAGATAACGTGATCATTTTTCTGCAAGCATTAGGGAAGATTTATAACAGCGGTATACAGTTTCATTTTACTAAATTATATCCACACGTAGAATATCCGGTCAATCGTGGTACTCCAATGACATCCCCACTTATTAAATAAGAATTACGAGGATATAGAAAACGAAAAAGGCTAATAATTATTTCTTCTGAATGTAATGTAGAAATTCAACGTTATTATGTGTTTAGATGGAAACATTCAGACAACTGGTTTGTGACAGATTACAATAGACCAGATAGAATTGATTCTGGCGAACGAATATTTGAAATAACGATCGATTATGAAGAATTTCAGTACGTTATTGATCATGTGGTCGATGGCAGAAATTTGTTTCCAGCGACAGGATATTAATGTTTAGTTTGGCAAACTTTCGGCATGATGATAGGACAACTGTACACGGAATTACCTGTTGTCATTGAAAATATAAAGTTTAATCGAGCTACCACCATACCGAAAAAAGGCAAAATTGAAATGATAGTCATAACTCAAAAAGGTATCCATTCTCCACAACTAGTATCTTCATATTGTTTTAAAGACGTTAACATATTTCGTTCTTTGAATGAACAGGCAGTGGTAATTTCGAAGCGGCCGAAACAGGTCTTGATATTGTTACTGGAGTGATTCGTGTTGCAACAAACTTGTTACAAGAGAAAATACCCCTTGATCTGATCAAATCAAATATCGGCAATGAGAAGAAAGCATTAGATGCGAAAGATATAGCGGCCTCTTTCGAAGTTTAAACAGTGTTTCAGTTTTAGGAAAAAAAGGACATATCGAGTGGAAAAAAAATTGAGTAGCATTCCTGGATAACATATTGCAGATGAAAATACTCGATTTAGATACCCGAGGTTTATTCGTACCGACTGGAATTCGAAAATTGATAATAGATACTAAAGCTCATCAACAATATCTGCAAAGTTTGACAACCAATAAAACATGTAAATATTTACTTTTAATTCAAAGTGAATCTAAATAGCAAATTCCTTTATATTCAATAATATTATTTCAGATGTACCTGTACAATTATTAGAGGATATTGATGTGATTGTAACAGAGGGTGTGGAAATTCATAACATTAGGGTCAGTGAGATTGCTCGAAAGAAACCTGTCAGTGATCCAATTATCGAAGAACATAAATTCATTGCTTATCGTGACAGAAGGGAAATGTCATTACGCGAAATATTAAGTTTATTTATGCATATTATTCTTGAGAATATACTAATGATGAAAGTGAAAACAATAGAACTCGTTGAGGATAATGACAATATATCTGCAGAGAAACTTGTTTCTCCAATGTTCAGAGACATTCTAGCCAATTTACCTTCGATTCAAGCAAGCATTAATTTATTTGCACCACCAAAGAAATTTGGCGAAGAAGACATTCTTAAAAATGTTGAAATTTCAGATTCAATAAAATTACGGAGAGATGATGTAGCGATATTAGCAATTGGATGTTGTTTATTAACCAATGAAAAAAAGGACAGTTTAAAACAACTTTTAAAATCTACAAAAGATGGAGCTTTCCTTTTATCGCGCGAAAAAGAAAATATGCCATTGGACTTTTCTATTCTTAAGGAATTTCAATTAGGTATAGTTTTGGAGAGACGTACTTCAGAAGAATCGTGGATATTATTAAGAAAGATCAAGAAAATTTTGAAATATACTCAGTTTATTAATGTTAGGAGCAATGAATTTAATTGGTTGAAAGAAGTACAAAATATGCTTGCCAATGAAACACAAGAAGATAACACGAGGGTAATACTTTTTCAGGAGAGAAACTTTGAATCTGGTCTCCTAGGATTCATTAATTGCTTACAAAAAGAACCTGGAGGTAAAATCTTTCGAGCTGTTCTAAGTCAGGATCTTAAATACCCGAAATTTTCTTTAGAATTGTCCCTTTATTCAGAACAACTCGAAACCGATCTTATCATCAATGTTTTACGACCTGGAAACGTATAAGGATCATATAGACATCAACTACTTCCATCTGGTGAACCAAAGCTTATGTATCATGCCATTGTTAATCAGTTGGTATGTAAGAACATTTCATCCAATTTTCTTAAATATCATAAAATAATACAATATAATTTGTGCAATAACACTTTTTAACAGTCACGCGGAAATTTAAGTTCATTAAGATGGCTCGAAAGACCAATTACGAAAGACTATCAAAAGGAAGATCTTGTTCGTATCCATTATGCATTGTTGAACTTTAGAGACGTGATGTTGGCAACAGGTAAAATAGGATTAGATGTGTTTCAACAGGACAGAAAAAATGTTGACAACGTACTTGGATTTGACTATAGCGGAATCAGTACCGGTGGTCGACGTATTATGGGACTTAATCCAAACAAGTGAGCTAATTAAAAATCATAAGATTGAGATTTAATCGTGAAAATAATAAAAAATAACAGAAAATGAAGGAAAATAAAATGAATAATATTCTTTCTTATAAAATGAATAATATGCATATCAAATCTTTGCCAAATGGACAAAACCTTTTGATGGACCGTACCTGAAAGTTGGAGTTTGAAAAATGCAGCATATTTGGAAGATACGCAATACCATGCGTATATTCCACATGTGTTGCTGCACTTTATATTAACAGAGAAATGAAAAAGGGTGATAGAATACTTATCTATTCTGGTGCTGGTGGTGTTGGCCAAGCAGCGATTACTATAGCTCTTCACGAAAGCTGTAAAATATTAACTACCGTTGGTACACCTGAAAAACGTAAATTCATTAAAGAAACATTTCCCAGTATCGACGATAATCATATTGGAAATTCTAGAGATACTAGTTTCGAACAAATGATTTTGCAAGAAACCGACGGTGGAGGTGTAGATATAGTTCTAAATTTTTTAGCGGAAGAAAAACTTTTAGCATCTCTGCGTTGTTTAGCCTATAGAGGACGATTTTTAGAAATTGGAAAGTTTGATTTAGCTGCAAATAATCTGTTAGACATCGATGTCTTTACGAAGGAGATCAGTTTCATGCTGTAATGTTAGATCAAATTATAGTTACCAAGGACGGAATCAAGAATGAAATAAATTCAAAAGTAAACAAACTCCTTAAGGAAAATGCAACCAAACCGATTGTAAGAACAATCTTCGGCAGAGATCAAGTAGAGAAAGCCTTTAGATTCATGGCTGCTGGTAAACATATTGGAAAAGTAAGCTGTGATCGTTGTTTTAATATTCATTTATTTGTACTATCTTAAATTATAACTCGAAATCCATCTATAATTCCGTAGGTACTAATAAAGGTAAGCAAAGAAAATAAACCACTGAATACACCGATCTTAACTGAACCATATTATACATGCCAAACAAATGTTATTTAATTATTGGCGGCTTGGGTGGATTTGGTTTAGAATTAATCGATTGGTTGGTTCTTCGATATGCTAAAAATATTGTCATTACTTCGCGAAACGGCTTAAAGAATAGTTATCAACAAATGAGAATCAAAAGATGGGAATCATACGGCGTGAATGTTAAGATCCTTGTCGGACTCCATGCGGCTAAACGAGAAGACTGCGAGTTTATAGTAAAATTAGCAACAGATGAAGGTCCCATCGATGGTATATTTAACCTCGCGGTTTCTTTGAAAGATTTTATTTTTCGTAACCAAACGATGAAAATTTTTGATGAATGTTTCAAGGGAAAGGCATGGACAACGAAACATTTGGACGAAGTTACTAGAACGCTTTATCCAAATCTTCGGCATTTTTTGTCTTCTCTTCCGTCTCGTGCGGAAGAGGAAATGCTGGCCAAACGAATTATGGTATGGCTAATTTCGTTATGGAAAGAATATGTGAAAATAGAGTAGAAGAAGGTTTGCCTGGATTAGCTATTCAATGAGGAGCGATTGGAGACGTCGGTCTTGTCGCGGACATGCAGGATAACGATAAAGAACTTGTTATCGGCGGTACTCTACAGCAAAAAATAACATCATGTTTAAAAGAAATCAATTGATTTTTGTTACAAGATAAACCTATAGTTGTTAATATGATAGTCGCTGAAAAACGATTAGGTGCCGACAGTGAGGAAAATGTCGTAAATACTGTCTTAAAAATTATGTGTAACTTTCGGTTAATTCATGGTTATTGCTAAATTTAATGATTTTATTTTTTTCGCCCGCTTTTACTATCTCTATCTTACTTAAATAACAAATTCTTGATTATAGGTATTAAAGACTTGAATAGTATCAATCCACATACTTCATAAAACAAACTTTAGAGAGCGGATATGAAATATATCTCAACGCGGAGGATATTCGTAGCTTAAACTTTGCCAAACTTATGAATATGAACAATAAGCTATCAGATGATAGTAATCGTATTGAAATTGCTACCGACAAAATATTATTTGGTACAAAAAAATTGATGCAATTGTTCGGCGAAAAACTTTCCGCCGATGTAATTATTTCCCTTAAAACTAAACCAGAGGAAGGTCAGAGCGAGATATTCTTCATTCCAGGTATTGAAGGCTGTGGTATCATTTTCAAAACATTAAAATCGAAAATTAAGTTGCCAGCGACTTGTTTCCAACTTGGGACAAATTATAAATTAGAAACTGTAGAAGAAATGGCCCTTTCATATCTACCGGTATAATCTTTTACTAAAAATATATTTGATTAAATTAAATATTATTCAATCTGTCGTATTAAAATGATATGTAACTTTAATTATTACAGCATATATTAGAGAAACTTAAAAATTGAAAAGATTTTACATTAGTGGGATACTCATTCGTATCGCTTGTAACAATTGAACTCACACGACAATTAGAAACTAAACGGTTTAAAGGTCGACTAATTTTGATAGATGGTGCTCCTCAACTAATGAAAGAACTTGTAAGCCAACAGTTACAGTCATCATTGGAGGAAGAACTGCAAAACAACATTCTTGTTAGTATCGCGGAGACATTTACATCTGTTAATATTGAGTAGGTTTGTCATTTTTTTTCTATTTCTCGCTATTGTCAAACGAATTTAAAAACGTTACTTTCCAGCTTGTACTTGAATTGGAAAAATCCAAAACGTGGGATGATAAGTTAAATGCATTCTTAAATGTATTGCCTCCCGAACACAAGCAATTATATTTGGAACAGGATCAAAAAAACGCCATCTTGTCATTTTATGTGAGACTGCAAGCATCCATGAAATATAATCCAGAACCAATTTTATATATAACAACACCGATTATATTGTTTAAACCGATATTATCGTCTGTAAAACATACCTCGTATGATTATGGACTACAGAAAGTAAGTTTTAAAAATTTGTATACATAATAAATATAACATTAATCTACTATAAAATACTGTTTTTCTCAGATAACTGGTGGCGAAGTAGAAGTACATGTTATTGATGGCAATCATTCCACAATATTAGAAAACAATAAAATTGCAATGGTGATTAATCGTGAACCGCTTGAGAAGAACTAATGAAAATTAAATGAAATAAAGTAAAAAAAAATATATATATATATATATATATATATATATATATATATATATATAAATACATATATACATATATAAAGCAAAATATATATATGTATACATACATATATATTTGCATAGCAAGAATACGTAAATACGAATAAAAGCGATTTTTCAAAAGTAATGCGAATCTACAAGCAATTCTTGTCGCATTACCCTATTAATATTATAAATTATTTTTGCGACAGTAATGATAATAACATTGAAAATAATAACATAAAAATGACATTATTTGGAAATAATTAAGTAACTGTAATTATCTCCACGTTTGTAGTTAATTCTACTTTTTAAATAAATTTCAAATGAAGGAAAAAGAAGAAATAACGATATCTCTTCTTAATTTATTTCGACATGTAAAAAATTAATTATAAACTTTCTTGTAAAGTGACAATATTAACTATTCATTTTTCTTTGTTTTAATAAAGTGTGTAATTTTGCTTTAATTACCAATAATTTTTGCTTTATTTACTTTCATTGAGAATACTTACAATATTATCAGCATCCTGATTAATCCTAAACAGTCTTTACTTTCTTAACGCAACCAAATTTTCGGCAAATAAATTTTATTTCATTTAAGTCATTCAATCATTTAAGAACATATCTTTGATAACCAGGAATTATCGCTATCTCTCACAGATCAAGAAGGAACAAGATTTTCGGCGGGCTTCTTTTGTCTCGAATTGAACCGTCTATCGTATGATGTATTCTGACTTGTCACTTTATCGCCATATAATTGGTGAGACGCACATCGATGCGCTCTTTATCTGCGGCTCGTGCATCTGCGCTTACGATGATTTTCGCTCTGTTACACTGCGGTTACATATTGTGAAAAAGAGGTTACTATTTATATACTGTGAAAAAGTATTTTTTACTAATGATAGTGATTGACTTACGCATTCATAAGGATAATTATTAAATTCAAAACGATTTTCATGAATTATTGAACAAATTATTAAACAAACGTACCCTTTTCATACATCATTGAATTTAAGTAGATTTCATCTACGATATCACCTAGGCAAAGGTTATGTGGTGCCATTTAATAAGTTAACCTTGATTTTTTATTTTAAAAATTATATCTTTGCAATGTTTATTTTGGTTTTGTTTTACTTATTTATTTTGGTAATTTAATCGACGATTGAGCAGAAATATTCTTCCTGTTTATGATATGAATGCAATTTTTCCCGTTATAACTTGGTTACGTTTCGATTGTTATTACTTATTATATTTAACAATGACAAGAGTTAAAGGAATGTTGAAATAAATAAAAAAATTAAAGAAATAGGTACAACAAAACTCATCCTATTATTTTAGAAGATGGTGAGCGAAATTATGATTGAAAGTTCACTCAATACATCAACAATAGAAACTTCTGTGTCTTCAGGTTTCTCAAAAACGTGATTTGTGAAGTCTGATGAAGTGTATTGGAATAAGGCAGTATATGAGATAAAGATATTAATGTAATTATACTTCCGTGATTCAATGATTTTTTAATTTGCAGTTTGCATTAGAGGGAGAATAAACTGAAGATGTTACTAAAAGAAATGCGTTAGTTTGTAGTGTTCAATTTCCTCTAGAAATTGTAAAAGTCATAAACAATGTTTTATGACTGATAACTACAAGGATAATGAAAAGAATGAAAACACGATTTCGATTGAAGAAGTAGCTATCTATGACGGTGACTTTCAAAAATTGTCTTGCAAAACAATGTCATAGATCAAATATCAGAATATTATAGAATACCAGAATAAGATACAATGAACATAACCTAGATGTTATAAAAAGACTGTATGTTCAACTTTCTTCTATAGAGTATCAACGAATGACTAGCTACTTGTAAATTTTTTTTAAAGTGATTGATGTAATTATATTATGTGTCTGATTCTTGACAATTATAATGTAGTTTGACGTATAAGGTTTTTTAAAAAAATAACGTTTGAAGCTTCTAGCTAAGGATCCAAATGAAGGTCTTGAGTAAGGATCCACAGCTAAAAGAAACGTAGTTGGAGTAGAAAAATAAAGACCTGCCAGAGAAAAATAAAAAAGTAATCTTAGAATCATATAGAATTACACTGAATCGTCCAAAATAAACCTTGAGATACTACGACTGGTGTCAGATGTTACTAAAAAAAGAGACCAACACTTCTTGGACACTTAGAAATGTTTCGGTACCATCATATAGGCATTGGGGCGGCAGTTTCTATTTTAATAGATCCTCCGAAAGATGGTCTATATGAGGATATATTTACGGATTATATCAATCACGCTGGGCAGATATTAATGGTTCTCTTTCTTCAACAGACTAAAGCACGGAAATCATTTATTATATCACAACTAAACGAAAACATTAAACTAGTGATAGACTCGATGGTCTCCAATGAATAGTTGTATGAGAACAAGCTCAAGAAAACGGTTATAGATACAAAAAAGATAGAGAAGGCTTGTGCTGAAATTAAGAAGCCTCCATCGAAAACAGCAGCAAAGTTTCGAAGTCAGTGAAACTCGAAATACCCACCGGCGAATTACCATCCGATAGATCAACAACAGAAACGCCCGTTAAAATTCTAATCAAAGACGTACAGAATCCCACGAAATCTGCTCAGAACAACAATCTGGAAGAGAAGTCATTCATCATCGAGGAATTAGAAAAATAATTAAACAGCAAGTTGTTTATCCTTCTATGTGGAGATATGGAAAGAAATTACAGCTGATAAATATATGTTTAGCTATTTAAGTGGTTATAAAATACCATTTACAGAGATACCGATCCAAGAGACTGTACTGAAGGAAAAACTTTCTTCTCTAGAAGGCAAAGCCAAAATTATTATAGAAATTAAGAAAATAATAAGAAAAGGAGCTGTCAAGGAATGCAACGACTGTAAGGTACACTTCATATCGACCTTTTCCTAGTACCAAAACCCGATGACTCTAATCAGTTCATAATCAACTTTAGAGATGAATAAATTTATTCAAGTTACACATTTTAAACTAGAGGACATTCGGTTTCCTCAGAAAATTTCTTAGGATCTATAGATCTTAAAGATGCTTATTTCTCAGTATCTATATATAGAGTCTATAGAAAATTTTTTCAAGTTGAAGGGAAAAACATTCCAACTTTTATGTTTGCCATTTGGATTGTGCATCAGTCCGTATATTTTTACTAAGGTTATGAAACTTGTAAATATATTAAGATATATAAGACAATATATTTGTCTCATACCTAGATCTATTTATTAATAAATAAAAAATGGTTGTGAGCAAAATAGAAAACAGACAATTAAATTTTTAGAACTCTTGGGTTTAATTATCAACTATCAGAAAAGTATCTTAGTCGCGGAACGATGTTGTAAATATCTAGGTTTCGTTGTCAATATTATTAATTTCGCCATAAATTTAACAAATAAGAAAAAGATTCGAGCAGTAAAACTATTAAACGAATTTAAAGTAAACAAAATCTAAAAAATTAGAAAATTTGCAGAATTACTTGAGATATTGACGGCTGCCTGTCCTGCAGTAGCTTATGGATTCATTTACTGTAAGCGATTGGAGATATAAAAATTTTAATATTAAAGTTTAATGGCGGTAACTATGAGGGAAAGATTTTAATAATGGAGTAAATCTAAAGGATTTCGACTGATGGAAAATAAATGCTGGTATTGGCGCAAATCCATTTAAAACTCGAAATTATGCTCTCGAAATTTTTTCAGATTCATCCTTGTCAGGGTTGTTACTGTGAAGGTAAAGAAGCTTTTGGTTTTTGGGACACAATTGAAAGAAAGAATAATATGAATTATCTTAAAGTGTTTACCGCATTTTTTGTGATAAAATGCATCGCGTCAGGATGTGAAATATTACTTTGTTTAGACAAAATTACGGCTATCGCGTACGTAAATAGGGCCGTAGGAATCCAGTATCCACACTGTAGTGAGTTCTCAAGAAAAATTAGGGAATAATATGAAGAGAAACAGATATGGTTGAAGGAATCATACATAGCATTAGCAGAAAATACTCAGACAAATAGAGTATCATGCAATGTAAATGTAGATTCTGAATAGAATTGAGGACAAATTCGGCCTGTTTTCTGTTGATTTATTTGCGACTAGATTAAATAAAAAATGTAAAACATTTTATTCTATATTCCCTGATCCGGAAACAAAAATAATGAATGCTTTCACTACGTCATGGACAAACCAACAGTTCCATACCTTTTTCCATTTTCAATTATTTTACGTACACTTCGAAAAATAATTAATGACAAAGCGGTTGGGGTGTTAGTCGTACCCGTATAGCGTACACAGTCCTGATATCCTCTGCTCACATATCGCCTCATAGAGACCAACATGGTATTTAAATCAAATAAGAATTTATTAATTTCTTCTTGCAGAGATATGAGCCACCCATTAGCATCCTACCTTTCGTTGGTAGCACGGAAATTGCCCGGATAGCGTATATACAAAAGGGACTTTTAGAAGAAACAGCAGATATAATGATAAATTCTATTGCACAGTCATTGAAGCAGTACAAGAGTAGCCTGATGGACTTTCACACACTTAAATAATCTTGATTTATTTAACTCAAGAACTATTGATATTATTAAATTCCTAAGTAATCAATTTAAAGATGAAGGAAGCTACACTACGCTTAATACTACCCGATTTACTGCACCTTTATTTCAGCATATAATATTAACAAAGATGGATTAATATCACGTTTTATTAAAATCATATTTAAGCAAAGACCGTCTAAATCAAAGTATTCTCCAACGCGGAACATCGATTCTGAACTGAAATACATAAAAAAAATACATCCAATTAAGAAATTGAAATTAAAAGAAGCTGCAGAAAAAGTAGCAACATTATTGGTATTAACTACAGCTCAAAGACTTCAGACTTTAGCATTTATAGAATTGATAACAGAAAAAACTAACATAGAGATAAAAATTAACATAACTAAATTGATTAAGACATCAAAACCAGGAACATTCTTCCCGAACTGATTTTACTCTTTCACAATGGTAAGCCAGGACTGTATGTGTCCCCTACTATCCTAGATTTCATAGATTGTACTAAGAAATTAAGAGATGATTAGACAATGAATTTGTTCATTGAAACTACAAAACCGTTTGCAGCGGTTATAGCTAAAGATATAGGTCACTGGATCAAATCATTATTGGGAAACGCACGTGGTGATACAAATCAATACACAACGTATACCACACGCCACACAGCACACAACAGAGATGCAGACATTACATCAATAAGATGCAGTGTTGGGTGGACGCCTAGTTTTCAAACCATCTTTAAATTTTATAATAAACCCATTCAGACTTCCAACGGCCAATTTGTACATACAATTTTGAATAAAAGTTGAGTACTAATTAAGTTTCTTTTATTATATTATAATTTCAGCCTATGCGACTTGTTTTCTTTTGCTTTAAAATAAAAAGTTAAATTTTAAATAAAAAATTATCCCGCAGCCTTTAAAAACTACATTATTATCATCGAGAACGAGACATTACATATAATTTTGATCAAACTTTACCCGCCTTCGGCTTATAATTGATCTTTTAATTATATAATTATGTTTTTAAATATGAAACAAATTTTGATCATAGACAGTTAGAAGGCTTTTGTAAAGTTGAAATTATTACAAATTTTTATTTTATAATTATATGTATATACTAATGTAAAGTATTACAATAACTAAATTTGCATTATATAATTTTTTTTTTTAAAAGGAAAAATTAATTCTGTTATTAACTATTAAAAGGAAATATGAAAATTATATTATAGTTATGAATTCTATAATTTTGTTTTAAATATGCAAATTTCATATTATATAATTTTTCTTTTTTTTTTTTAGACACAAAACATATTGTATTATAAAATGGTTAAGTCATTTTTCAATACTCTTTTACTTTCTCCGATTAATCGAGTTCAACGTTATCAATTTCTTTTATTTACTTTTCCGTTCTCTTTTTAATAGGATCGATACGATAGTCTTATACATTTTCAATTATTCGTTTAAGATACAATAAAATTGTAACAGTACAATTTTAGAAAAGTTTCAGACATCTATAAAACTATTTTTTTCATTTAACTTATTATATTGCCAAATCTTATTTTTTGAAAAGGATATCTTTGTAAATTTATAAATGCAAAATTTCTTTTTATAACTCCTTATAATTTTGAACTTATAATTTTGAATAGACTGTCTTTTCTAGAAATTGAAAACCACTCGATTTAATGAAATAATATCAATAAAATTTCAAGAAATATTCGAACGATTGAATTTACACATACATACATACAACATACATACATACAAATACATACAACATGTATGTATATACATTTGTCATTAAAATGTCATCTAATTTAACATATACTCATATATAATATTTAAAAACTGAAGGTGGACCAATTCGGGTCAACGCGAAAATGCCTTGCGAAAACGAGGACAAGACAGTCGAACGTTTTAGGTGTGAATATAGAATTCTTCGATGTGCTGCTGCTACTACTATTAGGAGGTAGTCACCTACGCTTCACTTCTATGAATTGTTATCGTTGTTATTGTCGTTGTCCTAGCCATCGTCATCGTAATTTTCATAGTTGTAGTCGTCGTCGTGGAACACTGGCTAGGATGTCCTGTAAAGCCGTACTATTAAATTATACCATTTCTCTTTCACGATCAACTTTTCTGAACGAGACATTCTCCAAGAACCCAAAAAGATATTGTCTTCATCTCTTACAGTAACGAGTCATTGTTGGTGGTGTATTATCACGACTCGTGTAAACGTAGCACAAAATCGACGAGTTGATCTTAATTACGATACTCATGCTGCTCAAGTCATGTATTCACGCGAATGCAGAGTTGTGTACGAGTATATATATTTATGTATGTTGTATTCCTATAATTATCAAATCGTGACAGTTTGCAGTAAAGAATAAACTGAAGGTGTTGCTAAAAGAAATGCATTAGTTCGTAGTGTTCAATTTCTTTTACTTGCTCGCTAAATTGATACAGTATTTTCTATCGTTCGCGATTTGTTTTTGTTCACAGTTCTTATAGCGTACATTAACGACCTCTTGCATTGTTGAAAAACTGTAAACTCAATTTGAACAAAAATAAGTTCCCGCCACTTTTTATAGTCAAGACTAGCTTCGGCCATCTTGATCGATGTATCAATCCAATGTATCGATTCCTGTCGAATTGAATAAACACTCCTTGTCTTACAGGAGAAACAACACAGAACGATACAGATTTGTTTAATTAATATTCCATGTGCATAATCCTGTTCCATCATGAGAAACAGATCATAATACATTTGCTAATATAGAATCTATTGCAAAATTTGAGAGACCGCAAAGATGATAATTATTAGAATAAAGTCCTCTTACTCCTTCAGATTCTGGCGCAATTGCACAAAAACAAATTTCTTGAATTGTAAACTTTATGGAGTTTGTGGCAGCTTGGATGAAATATTTTTATCCACAGCATATACAATTAAACAACTGAGACCTCATGTCTTTCTTACGATGTCTACATATCTGTTTTCCACTCCACAAGAAATCTATTTCTCCTTGTCAATCCCTTATTTATCGACTTGATCACAGAAATCTTTGCCACAATCAGCAACGTCGTACGAAAGAGTGTGAGAGAAAGAAAAAAATGTTTTTGGAAAGAAAGTTCGTGAGGGTTAGAGGAAACAAGCGAGAGAGCAATTATTTGCATTCGATTCAGTCTATTTTTATAATAACATTAAATAGATTACATCTATTTTATTTTTTGAAATGAGTAACTTTATATGAAAAATGAGACAAATGGAGAGAGAAATAATTTATATTTTTCGATTTTATTTAATTTTATAGATCTTATCTATTTATTTTCTCAATTAATAATTTCGTGTAAAGAAAAGTAAGTGAGTGACGGAAGTAGAGGGAGAGGGGTTTTTTATGTTCAAAGTTTATTAACTATTATTCTCATTGATGCGATATGCTCGTGATAATGGCAAAATTCTATTATCATTTCTAAATTAATGAGCTTAATTATAATGCTAATTTAAAGTTATGTTAAGCAATACGAATAAATAGATATAGATACGTATATGTACGCAAAAGTATATTTCATGCACATAGGTACGTACGAAATGTTTGTACGTAAAAATGTTTGTTTTTATCATGAAATGAAAAGAGAAATAAAATAAGAGATAATGACTCGTTATATATATTAAATCTTTTAATTGTTTATGAATTTGGATTAATTTATTATTATTTCTTTTTTTCAAATCATCGAATGTTAAATGTATCGACATTTTATTACTTGTTAAATATTATTTTTATTGATGTTATATTAGAATTATATTTTATTTATTTACTTATTTAAACTTTTTTGTTTTTCCTATCTTTCTTTATTAAGTTGGCAGTACGTCAACAAAAATTAAAACACTTAAATTCGGTTGAAAGGAAACATTTGAAAGAAGACATATTAATAATTATGTAAAATTTTTATCTAAGGAAGACAAAAAGAAAAGAGGGTGAGAGATTTTTTTTAGACTTTTTGGATGCATACACGTAGTCCTCATGTATCTATGTGCATGTTTCTTTTTCATCGTAATTTTTTTTTATAATACTGTTAAAAGAATAGACACATAATATATACTTCAAGGTCCCTTCTAATTTTTGTCGATTCTATTATCAGTTGTTTCTTAGTTTTTTTTCTTTGACTCACGAATATCTAAATATTCTAGATTCTTTAGTTAAGGACTGAAAAATCAAGTGTCATTCTTTTACTGCAATTTATATATATATATATATGTGTGTGTGTGTGTGTGTGTGTGTGTGTGTGTGT